ATTACCTAGAACTTTGTGCTCTTCCGCCCCTACCCGACTAGTACAACCCTCTCAGTTGCATAATGGGTCTCTGATTGTGGCAAAAATAAGGGTAGATCCAAATAACGCATCTTTGTTAATTAAAAGTAGCTTTAAAAAGCTGGGCATGGTGGTACACACCTTTAATCCCAGCATGCAGGCAGAGGCAGGCAGATATGAGTTCAAAGTCAGCCTGGTCTACATAGTGAGACCTTGTCCAAAAAAAAAAAAAAGGGTAAAAGTACTTCTGCTGCTAGGGTAGAAATCTGTCCTGGAGAAGCTTGAGATTTGGGGTGGGCAAGATGCTACTCCAAAATCAGCCAAGACACAAGGGTCCTTCTGCGTAAGGGACAGACCTTTAAGTACCAGGAGGGCAAGAACAGAGGGCAGAAGGTCAGGGCTGCAGCAGGAAACAGGGCTAAACATTAGACCCCTAAAACACCAGTACAAGTATCTGTTACAGAGAGGCCCTTGTGGTACCCAACCGTACCCCTCTAGGAGGCACTCATCTGCCCCAAAGCAGCCCTTCCAATCTTCTTTCAGGACAGAGCATGGAGACTCCTGCCCACTTTCAGCCCACAGCATGGCCTGGAATCCTTCATGTGCAACTTTCCAAGCAGAGAAAATGCTACAGTCACGAGCCCTGAAACCCCCCTTTGGACAACTCAGCCCAGAACAGAAGGAAAATGGCACCCATTATTCTCATTCTGAATGGCTGGGAAGTGGCTTGTGCTTTTCAACATGAAATGTGCCTAAAAATAAGCTGTGAATCTCAACCAGAGGTTGAAAATAGCTCCGCAGTGAACAGAGCTCTGCTTGAAGTGAGTTTAAGGACAGCCTTCCTTCCAAGATCTGAAAGCTGAAACGTCATAGTCACAGACGGGGTCACAGGCGGGGGGCTCAAGGGTGAAGGGACCTCCACAGCCTCACAAAGTTGTCCTTGGCGTCCTCTGTTGGTTGGGGAGCAGCAAGGGGTCCAGGCCAGGTCTGCCCCTCGGGCTTCCAATGGACACAATGGAGAAAACACATGGTCAGAAGTTCCACACCATACTCGACTCTATGAACTCTCTGAAAACCCCAAATGTCCAGGAGCATCCACTCTGTTTCAGTGCCTAAGGCGATCTGGAGACAGAGATGAAGGGGCAAAGGGTATCAGATGCACAGCAGAGCGGGATCACGGCTCTTTGAGAAGTCAAACCACCCTGGTCAGCCACTAAATCTTTTATCAGGCATTATTGCTGAGCCAGGTAGCCTTTGGGCAGGAAAGGCAAGAAACATGCTCCAATTTGAAGAAAATCGAGTTGTTACAAGGTGAAAAGTTTTTTCTTATTGTTTACCGCCATCTCTGAGACCCTGAAACTTGATAGACCAAACAGTATTCTTACAAAATGGACTACCGGGAACATCTGATTGCTCTGGTCCACCCCTGGTGGAGTCCAGAACGGAGCCAACCGAGTGGAGTCCTCACACAGGCCCCTGGAGCAGCTTCCCGGGGTTCCCTCTCCACACTTCTCCACACCCCGTGCCTCAATCATGCCACCGCTCTCTTCCGGGGCTCCTCATGAAGGAGGAGCTTCTGCCGTGATTCTCAGCTGGGGCACCTGACAACATCTGAGACACTTCTGGTCATCAAAACTGGGGAGCAGGAGGCCACCAGCATGCACCGGGAAAGACCAGAGACACTACTAAAGATCTCACAGTACACAGGACAGCAAACACTCAAATAACTATCTGCCCCGGATATGAACTGCTGAGGTTGAGCAACCCCGAGTTCCTGGAAGGATGGGATGTGGACAGAAATGGAGCGTGGGAGCCTGTCAGCTCTGTTCACAGGACACAGTAGTGCTCCTGGGCTCCCCGAGGAGCAGAGCACTCTGGCCAGCCAGGAATCTGAGTGCCGGGAAAGGCTCTGGAAAGAAGGGTAGGAACACATTAACCAGCTCCCTTCCCACCTCAGGGGAAAGCCTAGTCATCACGGTTCCGCAAAAACTAGCTGCCTCCAGCCTAGGAGGATGAAAAAATTGTGGAGAGGATGTGGATGGCTTACTGAGACATGGTTAAAATGGTCAATTTACACACACACACACACACACACACACACACACACACACACGCACACGCACACGCACACGCACACGCACACACACACCAGGCCTAGCAATACTCTGGCTTTCTTTCCTCCTTTCCCTTTCAGAGAAGTCTCTCAGGCAGCAGGAGTCTGTGTGTGGTGGGTGGGTGTCTGTCTAGAAGGCCTACCTGTCCTCTCAAGACTCCACAAGGGACTTGGGACAAAAAACAAGAAGTTCTTTTTTTTTTTAGAAGTTCTTATCTCGACCAAGAATGGGTCACGATTACTCTGTCACTTCAGGAGTCTTCATGAGTGGCCCGTGGGTTCTCTGAATCCACTGAGGAAATGGAGGCTTGGGGAGATGAGGTGCCCTGTCCAGGGCTGCCCAGCAGGGTTCAGAGCCAACTCCATGATGCCAACTCCATATCCTGCGCCCTGCTTGAGTCCCGTGTGGGACAGACCACTGGCAGGACTGGAACAATAGCTCTGCCGCGGGCCTCAGAGCAGTTTGGGGACAGCTGGCTGCCTTGAGTCCTGATGAGCCTTTCACCTGCCAACGCCCCACCTTGTCCTGCTGGCTTCCTCTACCCACGTGATCACACCATAGACTGTCGGGCCGTGGAGCTCTGGGAAACAAGGTGATATGTTCGCCATTCTGAGTGGGGCTCAGGGACAATATCATTTTCCAAGTTATTTTCCTAACAATTATAAGAAAAATAAAATACAGGCAACCTCACTAACCATCAAAACCACACTGAGATTCCACCTCAGCCCAGTCAGAATAGCAGACATTAAGACACAAAGGACAGACCTGCCAAGGGTGTAGATGAACGGACCACTTAGGCCTGTTGGTGGAAATGTGAACTAATAACTACTGTGGAAGTTAGAATAGAGGCATCTCAAACAACTAAAAGGAGATCTACTGTGCGGCCCAGCTGACCACTGCCGGATATGTACTGGAGGAACAGAGACACTTGCAGCATTATTCACACCAGCTAAGTTACGAAAGGAATGAAGTTAGGTTATTTGCAAATGGATGCAACCAGTGACGCCCGTAGTAACTGAATCAAGCCAGTCTCAGAAAGCAAACTCCACATGTTTTCTCTCACCTGTGGCTCCTAGGTTTTTTTGTTTTGTTTTGTTTTTCGAGACAGGGTTTCTCTGTGTGGCTTTGCGCCTTTCCTAGAACTCACTATGTAGACCAGGCTGGCCTTGAACTCACAGAGATCCGCCTCCCTCTGCCTGCCGTGTGCTGGGATTAAAGGCGTGCGCCACCACCGCCCAGCGGCTCCTAGGTTTTATATACACTCCTGAAATTGTATCCAGACATATGACATGGAGGTAGAAGTGAGACTACAGGGAACAAAGGAGACTCCCAGAGGGGAGGAAAGAGAAAGGGAGAGCAGGGGGTTCGGAGAAATACGCTCGATACTGGCATGAATCTTTTTATAATAATAATTTTTAAAAACGTGGACTTTTCTTCCACCTCATGGATACTAACCACTCCCAAGACGCAGACAGCAGTACCCTCCTAGGATAGGAAAGGGCTGCCCCACGGGTGGCAGCCCCTGCCCCCGGCAGCCCCCGTGGTTATTTAGCCTTGCTCAGAGGGGACAGCATGGTTACACCTGAGAACTACAACAGGAACCACCTACTCACTCTGCAAGCAATGAGCACACACAAAGGTCTTAGCAGTGCTGATCTCGCCATGAATGCCTTAGGGAGTCATAGGACAGAAGGCAGGAGCAACACACAATCCTTCTAGGTAAAAAAAGATTCAGCAAGCTGGGTGGTGGTAGTGCACGCCTTTGATCCCAGCACTCAGGAGGCAGAAGCAGGCGGATCTCTGTGAGTTCAAGGCCAGTCTGGTCTGGAGAGTTAGTTCCAGGACAGCCAGGGCTATACAGAGAAACCCTTTCAAAAAACAAACAAACAAAAACAAATCAAAACAAAAAGAAAAAGAAAAAAAAGGAATCAGCAGCAAGGAGAACATCAGTGCAATCTAGAGAGCACCAACTAGCCCATAGCTCAAGGCTCATTAGCAAACACTCAGCAGAAACAAAACCTCCCAGCTAAGTGGCCAGTCAAGGGGAGATCCTTGGGAGAAAACTGTGGGCTGGATGTGGCCTACTCTGGAAGCAGCTCGAGCATGCGGTAGGAAAGATTCAGCTATGGAGCCACAGTAAGCCCGGGACAGACTAAGGAGGCTTCCTGCTTCTATTCTGAGTTCCAGCCTTGACTTGCTGAGGCTTTGGGTGAGCCGCTTCCTGTTGTTCAAGCCAGTTTCCTCCTGCTAGGGAGGCCATGGTGCTTCTATGGTCCAGGGAAGAAAGATTTAAAGCTTACACCTTTGTGATCACAATCTTGACTTATTTCGACTAAAGTTGAATATGGGTCTATTTAATGAGCCTTTATCAGTTATCATTTTTCTGCCAAATATTTATTCTACAAAATTAGTTATTTTTATTCAGGAACACTGAATGCCCTTTTACCAACAAAGGTACTAAAAATGGTTTGTGGCTGAGGAACTTCCTCTCCATGGTTTTTTAAAAAAAAGAAGTGAGATTAACCAAACCAGGGTCTTCTCATCCGTCCCAGCTGAGGCCTTGTGTCCTGAGCCCTCTAGGAACACGTACTTGGGTCCGTGGCCTCACTCTAGCAGCAGCATGCACCGCGACAACACTCCCCACCCACAGGGCCAGGGTCCTGGACACCGCAGCTGCTCTGTAGCTTTTGTGCCTCACTTGTTCATTCTAGATTGGAGTCAAGGCACCAAAGCGGTATTTGATAGACCTTCCCAGGGTTCCTTTCTAATAAGAGAGACGCTCCCAGGCCTCCTCGTCTCCAAGCCAGTGCTGCTCACTGTGACCATCCCAGAGTTACATGGCTCAAGCCTGCCTGCTAAGCCACTTACCAGATTCCCAGCAGAGCTGGCCAGGGGTGGAGGCCTCTGTACTTTCACGTCTCCATAATCAACAACATCAAAGTTACTCTTCCAAACCATCACCTGCAAGACCAACAGGTACAGAGAATGAGGGGAGAAAATGGGCCCAGAAATCAACCCCGAAGTTCTGAGCTAAAGTGGTTCCCGTCTCACACCCCAACTCTACTCTGGACCTGCCCCACACCCCTGAGGAGTAAGCTTTGGGGACAGGCCTGTGGCACCAGGATGGAGTACCATCATGTAGCCATGGAGCACGGTTAGACCTGAGCACCTGCTTGTCCCTCTACCTGAGTGTCCTAGATGACTACTCAGTGTCAGGATCACTGTTGAATCCATTTGTTCCCTTTCCCCATCTATCATCTGTCTCTCTGAAAAAGAAGCTCTTGAAGGTGGTGGCCCTGTTCAGGACACTGTGGGAAGATGTGAACATGAACTCCAGGCCACCCACTGGGTTAATGGCAGATCTCTACCCCTTACTGCGCATTTTTCAACCTGTGGGTCGAGACCTCTTTGGGGGGTCTTTTACCCCCAAATATCAGATATCCTGCATATCAGATATTTACATTATGATTCATAATAGTAGCAAAATTATAGTAATGAAGTAGCAATAAAAAGTTTATGGTTGGGGGTCCCCACAACATGAGGAACTGTATTAAAGGGTCTCGGTGTTAGGAAGGTTGAGAACCGCTGGCTTACTGTGAGTCCTAGGTGAGGGATTTAAAAGATCCCAGCTCCCACCTCACAGGGCTGCTAGGAGGCTCACAGGACACAGTGTAACAGTTATTGGCATCAGGAAATGGATACTAACACACTCATTATCCTAAGCCCAATACGTTTAACAGTAAAAAACATACTTCTAGCCAGGTGTTGTAGTACAAATACTGGAGGTAAAGGCAGGCAAGTCTGTGAGTTCAAGGCCAGGCTAGCCTACATAGGTCACCCAGCACCACAGCGTGAGATCCAGCCTCAAAACAAACAAAGTAGCTTCAGTGGTTAAGAGCACTGGCTGCTCTTCCAAAGGACCCAGGTTTGAGTCCCAGCACAGATATTAACCACCTCTGTAACTCCAGTACCAGGGGATCTGATGCCCACTTCTGGTCTTCACAGGCAGAACACCCACACACATTAAAAACAAATCAAAACAAAAGTTAGCAGTGGTGGCATACGCCTTTAATCCCAGCACTCGGGGGACAGAGGCAGGTGGATCTCTGTGAGTTTGAGGCCAGCCTGTTCTACAAAGTGAGTTCCAGGATAGCCTGGGGTGTTACACAGAGGAATCCTATTTTGAAAAACCAAAAAAAAAAGAAAAAAGAAAAAAGAAAAGAGAAGAAAAAAGTTAAAGATACACAAATAAATGTTAAAGAATTTCAAATAAGTAAATAAATACACAACCACATGCAGCATCTTCCCAAGCAGGATGATGACTGAAGGCACTTCCACAAAAGCTTAGGCAGCAAGAGCACCCCCTACTGGAGGCTAGAAACCACAGGAGGCTGGCTGCTTCTGGGGTTACTTTCGGGATGGAATGGCTGGCTTGGCCATCACAGGAGGAAATCATGCAACATGACCAATAGTTAATGGAAGCCAACGAGGCCACAAAAAACTAAACCAAACCAAAACAAAACCCCACCACTCTATCCCCCAAGATGAAGACTTGGCATGCCCTAGACACCCCCCACTGAGACACAGCACTTCTTAGGAAGGCTCCTCACCACTCCCTGAGCAGTTCCACTGTTCCCAGCTCCAGAGGGATGGGCTCGTGAATACCTCATTTGTCAGTTTATGAAGGGAACGTTGGCATATGCATTCCCCATGTACAAGGTCCTTGTATAACTGTGGAGACCATCATTCCTAGCACCAGAGTGGCCAGCGTGAATGCAGAGATAATACCCAGAAATACATGAGCAGATGTAAAAAGTCCAGGGAGCTGACAGCCTTGCTGTCTGAGGATGGCCACGACAGGGTGAAGCTTTCCTCTAGGTTGCCTCTTGTTCTGTGTGACTTCGTTTTAGCATGTACATCTACTATACAGTTAACGTGTGTATCTGCCATAGAGTTCCCGTTTTCCATGCTCACCGGAGGCTCAAGACTCCTTTACCCTCCTTTCCCTTCCTTTTTGGCTGCTAGCTAGGACCTAGGGCTGGAGTGGCTGTTATCCAGGCTGTGGACAAAGAACCTTTCGCTAGCCTCTGCTTTATTGGAAAATCAGTACATTTCACTGCAGCTGGGACTCAGGGGAGGCCAGAGGATTTGTCTAGGCTGAGCAGCAGAGCTGTGAGGCCAGTACCCAGAGGATGAGCATTCTCGGCAATCCAGCAGACATCAACTGTGTTCACAGCCACTGCTCTTCCCTCCAGAAACAGAGGACTGTGTAAATACTCTGGGAGACTGCTGACAGGTGCAGTCCTCAGCGCTCCACACCTTTCCTAGGCCAGGCTTTGAGCTGGGCACCAAGGTCAGAGTACCCCCCCACACACACCCCACACCCCCCTGCAGATAAGCCCTTGGCTTTTAGCAGTCTGGGAAAGGAGTCACAGGGGTGACAGGATGAAGCCTCAGGGCAAAGGGTGATGAGGCGGGACAGGACTTCCTCTCTGCAACCAAGGATACAGAAACCGCTGACCCTTTCAACATGCAGCAGGCCAGGAAGCAAAAGGCAGCAAGAATGGAGTGGAGGCTTCCAGGGAAGAACCAAGGCTCCACAGTCATGCGGGCTCAGTGCCTGTCCCTGTCTCTGCCACCTGCTGGGACTGTTTTCTCATCTATAAGAATAAAATAGGAAGACTCGCCCCACAGGACTCAGGAGAACTAAATGAGCTATGAAATTCTTACCACACTGATGCATTACCAGATCTGCAGTAAGTACCTAGTAATTCTTCACTCTTTATGTAATCAGGAGGAAAAAACAAAACAAAACAAAACAAAACAAAACAAAACAAAACAAAACCCTGAAAATCTTCAACTTTTCCCCCACAATAATTAGCTCAAACTCCTTCCAACCCGTTCTAGTCTGAGACACTTCCACAGGTCACCCCTGAAGGAGACCTGCTTGGGGACAGCAACTGCTGGGACCCGAGTACCGCCCCTACCCCCAAGCTCCACCACGTTATCTTCACCATGACTGTAGTCGCTGAAGCCATCTCTGATAACCTCCACCCTCCTGAGGGGTTCTGAGCAGGATCAGCTCAGACTCCTTAGGCCATTCTTTCTTACCTGCTCATCAGATCCTCCAGAAGCAAAATACGCCCCCGTTCTTGAAAAGGCAACGGTGGTAGCAGGTCCCTGGCAGAACAAACAGAATAAACACCAAAGGTCAGCTGAACATGGCAACACACCAGTGATCCCAGCACTTGGGAGGTGGAGGCAGGGGAATCAGGAATTCCAGGCCAGCCTGGGTTACATAAGACCCTGTCTCTACATACATCCTACAACCCCTCCAAAAAGATCCCTGGGTCTAAACGCACAGCTCCTGGAAGACAGCAGCGGTGGGACGAGGTCTGAGCACTCACTCATTCAGCACCAGTCCTCCTCAGCCTTTGTCCAAGAAGCCTGACCGTGGTCAGGTTCAAGAACTGCTGCTGGACCTCTGCTCCCAAACATCTCACCAGACAAGGCCAGGCCGTGGGATCAAGGGAGGGCAGAGGAGGGAGCAGGACATTCACACTGGCAGTCTGGCCAGGCGGGCATCATTTCCATGGCTTCCCTAACAAGAAGCAGGGGGTCAGAGACGCACAGCTGAGATCAGCACGCACCTCTCTGAGGCACATCCACAGTGCCCTGTTGTAGACCAGAGAAGTGGGAGCCAAGGAGAAGCCAATGGCCCAAATGAACAAGGCCAAGTCAGGGGCCTGAGCACAGGAAGGAGGCTGAGGAGGAGTTACTGAAGGTGCTTGGGGGTGGACCAAAATGACACCAGTGTCCCTGCACTGTCCGTGCCATCTTCCTTAGCTGGGGCCGGGCAGGGTAATGTCCTCCTCTGGCTTCCTAGGTCCAAAGGTCCGGGTGAGCATCCAAAGGGGCATTTCAAGTGCATGCTATGCAGCACTCTCTAATAAGCACACCCCAGCTGAGAGGGGATCGGGATCTCCCACTCAGAGAACAGTCCTCCCCATCTGCCTGGAATCCATTCCAGAAAGATATGCCAAGCAAGGTCACAGCCACAGATGGAACCTTCTCCCTTCCAACTGAACGTCTACCATGGCCAGTGCCTGGCATTCTGCTGGTAAAACCAGATCACAGTTTTCTTCTATCTGTCACGAAGGTCACCCCAGTTCCTCTAGGCCAGCAAAGTATAACAAGGACTGCCCACAGGAGGGGCTTTCAGCAACAGAGCCCGGGCTAGAGAAAGGGAACATGGAAGACACCCTGCACTCAGAGCTGGGAAGGACCACCACGGCTTAGGCTGGCAAGAGACCTCCCAGCCACAAGCAGCTGCTCTCCCAGGACACAGGCAGCGAGCAGGGCTTCCCAGGCTCAGGCACATGGAACAGAAGGTATACACCTGCCCTTGCTTCCAGAACCCACTTCTAGTTCTTCCTCTCAGAGGGGCTCACACTGGGGCGACGAGACAGGAAGAATTTCATATGGCTAGCACTGGCTCAGAGCCCTGCACCTGTATCAACCCACCTAATCCCCAGAGGACAGTGTGTGCCTTTACCATTCCAAGTTGGGAGAACAAAGCCCAAGAGGACACATACAAAGCCTATGCCTGCCTGTCACCTCCCTTCTCCAACAAGTGCATTCACAGGCTCAGGCCTATCCTACCCCCAGCAGCGCCAGGAATTCTAACCTACCATTAACCAAGATGAAGTGGACCACTTTTGCTGCGAGGGAACAATGCCCACTCATATCCATGAACAGTGAGTGTCAAATCCCAGGTGCGAGGCCTGCTGGAGCATGTGACTCCATTCTGAGTGACACTGGCTGCATTTGCAGAGAGTGGAGCTGGGGAACATCCCTCCCAGTGGACAGCTGGCAAAGGGTTACAAGGCTGATGGAGGAAGGTGATACATTTTCAAAGAAAATCTACTTGACTGCTGACAGTCTTGACCATTTTCAGACCTGGAACTTTCTAATGAATGTATGGCAATGCTATAAGACAACAAGATGCTTTTCATTTTGAGGAGAAAGACATGGAGGGAAGGAAGGAAAGGAAGGAAACCGGAGTGCGGACTTTCAAAAGCAGACAGGCAGGCCCTTCGCCCGCCCGCCCAGAGCTCCCGAGAAGAGCTCCAGGAAGGGCCAGCGACAAAGGGAACACACACTCGTGGCTCGCACTGCCTGTCATCACTGCACCACCAGCTGCCAGGCTGGGAACAAGATGTCAGCAGCAACAGCAGCAGACTCCGAGAATGCGCCCAGCTTAAGGGGGGATTAGGGCCAGAGGGCAGGTGCTAATGTTCTGGTGCTTTCCCAGGAGACCAGGTCTCTCAGGAGACTCAGGGATAAGCGAGCAACCAGGAGCTCTGTGGGGCCCACACTCCTCCCCAGTGGTGCCTGTTTACTGAGAGGCAGCAAGGCTTCTGCAACCAGGCCTCTGCATTCCTAGAAAGAGCAGCGCTCACCAGAGGCTTCTGCCAGTCTGCTGAGAGCCAAGCAAGTAGCCTGGCGCACTCGGAGTGCAGCCTGTACCCCCAGATTGTATCACCAGGCCACTGGAGCCACCTCAGTTCACGAAAGCACAAACTATGTTTGTCCCGATGACAACATCACACCATGATGTGTTTCTCAGATGGTGACTACACAGACCAGGCCTCCTTCCTATGCTCAAGTGTTCTGGAGTTTGGCTCTCAGGGCCTGGACAAACCAGCCTCCGTTGATCTTGCCCTTCACCAACATTCTAGCCTATTCTACTGCTCAGTGCCCTCAAAGGCTGAGCCAAAAAAGGTCTCTTTCTCGGTGTTCCTCCTAGAGCTCAAAACTGAGCTCTTCAGTCATTTCACTCTCCCTTCATTTTAAATAAACTCATTCAAGGCTACAAATTTATCTCTGACAGCACCTTAGCCAGATCCCAGAAGTTTCTAGTCTGCAACACTTTTGCTGTCATTCCCTTCCAAATTGTCAGTTTTGACTCAAGTTCTTCTTTAGGTCATCAGTTATGTGGAAGTGACTGAATCTAAGGTTTCCAAGCCAAGGGGAGTTGGGGAGTTCGGACACAACAGTGTCAGTGATCAAATACGGTATGTTCTAGCTTCATGGCAGCCTAGTCTTTTCATCTGATCAGCCACTCCTGGTGCACTGGAGGCCAGCTCCAGGCATGGATGTAGCCGGGTTCTTTCACCTCAAGGCCAGGTCTTCCCTGGTGCCTCCACAGGGACTGGAGTGTGACTTGAGCATTTCTTGCTGGGTCTTCAGCAATGTAGATTCCAGCTGCCCGCACCCCCAGCAGCAGAGTGGTCCATATGCTGGGGACGCTGTCCCTTATCTGCTCCTGACCACATCCATGCGATGCTTCACAAGCTCAACTAGAGTCCCTCCCCTCCCCCGAAGTTCTTTAGGAGGTGATTGTTCTTAACCTGTCATGAACACTGCATACACACGGTGTCTTCCCTGCTCTCTCTCCTGACCTTACCATACCCGGCTGACCTCACACCCAGTCATTTCATCCCATGCCTCTTCTTGTCAACAGGACCTCAGAGGATCTACGCTGCTGATTGTTTTCTCTGCATTTTATTGAACTGTTTAGCATGCACACACATGCACCAGGGCACACATGTGGAAGTAGGGGGACAACTTGCAGGAGTCGGTTCTCTCTTTCTACCATACAGGTTCTGGGCAGAGAGCTCAGGTCATCAGGGGCTGGAGAGATGGCTCAGCAGTGAAGAGCACCGACTGCTGTTGTGTCACTCTGACTGGTTTAATAAAAAGCTGAATGGCCAATATCTAGGCAGAATGTCCAGGTATGGAGGATGCTGGGAAGAAGGGCAGAGTCACCAGGAGATGCAGAGCAAGCAGGATGGGCACTACAGAGGTGAAGTAATAAAGCCATGAGGCAGAAAGTAAATTAATGGAAATGGGTTAAGTTATAGGAGCTGGTTAGAAACAAGCCTAAGCTATCAGCCCAGCTTTCACTGTCTCCGTGTCATTATTGGGGAGCTGATAGTCCCAACAAAAAAGATCTGACTACAGACTGCTCTTCCAGAGGACCTGGGTTCAATTCCCAGCACCCACATGGCAGCTAACAACTGTCTACAACTCCAAGATCTGACAGCCTCACACATACATACATGAAGGCAAAATACCAATGCTTGGCAGCAAGGGCCTTTACCCACAAGCCATCTGGCCAGTTCTCTGTCCATTTCCATGAATTTACTTGAACAGCAAGCATCAGGCAAAACAAAGAGAAGCCCAGAGTGACTGAGTTAAACTGCACACTCTGATACCTTTAAGCACATCTCTGGACTCTCCTCACACTCGCCAGACTCTGTGACACCTGATTCTGACCATGGTACCTTAAGAGCCCAAGTCCAAGCAGGTGCCTTGACACCCCACGTACCAGCAAACAAACAGGGCCGTCACGCCGCACATGCCCTGAGTAGACAAAAAAGCAGAGTGGCCATCACAATGACCAAGGAGGCCAAGGGACTTCTGGTGTGGGTGCTCTGGCCTCTGACCCTGTGTAGAAATTCAGTCCAGCACACCAGGTGCTTGTATATCCAAGTGGTGACCCACAGGGACATTGCAGCTCTGTGGAGGAGATGCTGCCAGTGGAAAGCAAAGCTCTCTCAACCCTGGCCCAGGACACCTGCTCCTAGCTCTTAACTCTGGATTGCTAGAGGGTGACAGAGGGCCAGGCTGACCAGGGTTTCTTACAATGGTACACATGAGATACTACTCCCTGTCTTCACGGCCCTTACACTTCCAGAGGAGTCCAACCAATACCAGGTAAGACCCTAGTGACTATCAAAATACTCCTTCAGAACAAAGTGATTGGACAAGGGCTAAGTGCACTCAGGACACAGGGTGGAGAGACATTCCAGCTCACTTCTACTGCTGCGGCCCCAAGGGCAGCCCAAGCACCTAAACTCCTCTCCCCCACTTCCCCAACCCCAGCCTAGGGCCTGGCATGGCCCAAGTGTCCAGAATACATGTGTGGGTCCCTCAGAAGCCTGAGCTCCCGCCATGAGCACAGTCAGCAGCCTCTGCCCATGCCTAGGCCTGTGGCAAGTGTTCCCACCCACATCAGGGTAGCTGTCTGCACTCGCCGGATGGTGTGCAGCTCAGTCACTTCACGGTGACGCTCTGCAGTTACATGCATACCAACTGCACAGCCATTAATACCA